TCTGGCTCTACTTGCTAGATGCCAGGAGTAATGAAACCTTGCCTCCCAGTCATGGAAATAAAAAATTGTCTCATCAACTAATGTTCCCAGAGTAAACATCCCTCTGCCCCACGTTGAGAACTATTGCCTTAATCAGACCCATTCATTCATCCACCCATTCATTTGTTCACAGGCAACATTGATAAGACCATGATTTTAGCCTTTTTAAAGACTTTCAGAAGCTTAAGTTTTCAGCATGTTTGTCATTATATTTACTTTTTTGGTATTGCAACTCATTGTGTAACATTTTATAACATACTTATGCTCTTCATATTATCTTTCCCCATGCATCTTCCTGAAACACCTCCTCTTCAGTTACTGTAATAACTCTTAAGCACAGTGCTTTACTGCAGATTATAAAGTTCACATAAGTTTAAAGGAAATGACTTTATAATGTAAATCACTTTGTTTCCTAGGATGGTGTGAGTGAACACTCACACAGCCCACCTACCCACTACCCCTTGCCCCAAAAGAATAATATGCAATGGAGCAGGGGTTACACATAGCTTCAGAAGAAGCTTAATTTTCTGGGATATAAATTTTGCTTGAAGATTTAGGGAGTTGTTAAGAACAATAAAATTTTTCCCATAAACCAACATGAACAATTTGGAGTGAAATGAAGTTTTTGCATGCATTTTAAGAGATGTCAACAAAAGTATGTTTTGCAATGGGTCACATCAAGCCACTATCCCAGGCAAACCTTTGCTTCAGCAGAAATGCTGAGAAGACCTAATTTAGTGAAATGGATTATCTCCATTGAATAAAAAAATGCAAGAACTTCAAGAGAACGTATGATCCAAACTCTAGCTCAAAGGCAGGTGTGGTGTTTTTAAACCCATCTCATGGTTAAGGTAACTGCCTTGTCTATAGGACATGTAATTGGCAATCTCTCCATGCTTTGCAATTCTCCTCACACAAACAGTGGGGAGAGTGAAGGACATATGGATTTCCAGTCCACTTAAGCTAAAGTAAAAGTAAATAAAGTTGTGAAATTAAGATTAGATTCTTATGTTTTGTTACTGTCTCTTATCTTCTTACCTGGAGTCATTTCTGACAAAGACCTCTGCTTTTACTCCTCATTCCCCAAGCTCCACGAAGGGTGTTTTTCTTTTTGTTTTAGCGCTGCTACAAGCTATAGAATCAGGGCAACATACTTAACCTCTCTCAATCTTTTCTTAAGAGTACTGAAGTAGATCTCAAAATTATCTTTCACACCGAATTTCCATGTATCTGTATAATGTTTTGTAGAATTTTACTTGCATAATCACATTTATAAATGACCTATTGTTGAAATACATTACTTTTTTTAATTCCATAGAAACAGCGTCACATCTGTAGATCCTTTGGACTACTAAGAAATCCAGCAGCATATTCAAATACTTGAAAAAAAAATGCTTAGAGGAAAATGTCATCAGCACACTTACCTGCAAACAGACTTGCTCTTAGCAACTCAAGAGTAACAATAAACAGAGAAGCAGTTAATTGTTTTCTTCTCTAGTAAGAGTTGCTAGTACACAAAATAAATGAGTACCGCCAGTGGCCCGAGGGAGTGTTGTTAGTAACCTGTCTGCCAGGTTCTAACACTTTTATTAACCAAGCCAACCAACCTAATGCTGGTTCCAGCCATTCTAGATAATTCCCAAATAGCTAAGTACTTCACCTGAGGAGTTCATAACCATAAAGGTATAAACCTCTCTTAAAAAATTATGATCCTGAATAGGAAGAAGGCTGGATGGACGGAGTCAACAGGAGGAAAGGAAGGGTTAATGGATAACAGAACTGTTAGGAGAGTTATCAAGTGAGAAATAGAACTCAGGAATGTACCCAAGTTGCACCAAAGTACTTTTCTGGGACTTGATCCCTGTTCTCATTCCTTCTCCATTCTCCCCAGTCCCACACAATCTTCTCCCCAGTTTCAGGGGAGACTCATGGAGAAATGAGACCAACTCAGCTGGAGAGTTCTAGAAACTGCATTTGACTACCGAAGACCAACTCTGCTGGGTTTTTCAGTTACATGAACCAGCAAATACTTTTTGAGGGTTTTAAGTTTAGATTGTGTTTGTCTAGTGATTTAGAGTTCTTTTATGGTTATTACAATAAAATTACTCAGAATTTTAAGAATTTAAATAGATTTGTTTTATATGAAAATCAAGACCAGTCATCACTATGAAATATAAGTAAGCCTAATGCAGCCATGTTACCTGCTTTGTTCTGGGAAAATCTAGCAATCAAAATCAGTATTACACTCAAACGCTTAACATTTAAAACATCTATCCAAAAGTTTAAAAATACTAACCCAACAAAGGATAATAGGTTGTACTGATAAAATGGATTAATTGGGAAAATTAAATCCTTGATTTTTCTTAGAAACATCTCATCTCATTCTGTTTCTCTCCTCTTTTGAGTTTTATTTTACTGAACTCGTTCTTATTGTCGTTCTATAAATGTGAAGCAAATGTACACAATTTACTTGTTCCATGAGTTACATTTCCTTCCAGGCTGAGTCATAGTAGGTCTGTTTACCTTGGTACAGTGCTCCTCAGTGTGGACCGAGACTGAAGGCATCAGCATTATCTAGAAGTTTGTCTGAAATGCAAATTATTGGGCCCCATCTCAGACCAACTACTAACAACCTCTGGAATGGCATGCAGGGATCTTTCCCCATGACTCTCAGGCACACTAAAACTCTAAAACTCCTGCTGCAGTATGTTTGCAGTGATCATGTGTCTTTTATTTTGCTCATACTTAATACAGGCAACAGACGACATTCCCTAGGCTTTGATAGAAAGTGGGTGACTTTAATACTCTTTCCACTGTATCTGAGACCAGTTTATATTTCTGAAGATACAGTTCAAAGCCAGTAGAAAAACTTTCTATTTGCTTTTCTGAAGCTTAGGGAAAAGGAGCCAGGCACCATGAAAGGAAAGGCTCACCTGGATCTTAATATTTGAACTTTGTTTTCTCTTCTGAGAGTGTTAAACTGTCTATACCAGTCAAAGGGGAAAGTAGTGAATGAATTTTTCTCCAGACTTGGGGATGTTAGTATGACTTTCTCAGGAATTCTGAAGACTGGGTATAAAAATGGACAATGATGTAAACTGCTCTGCTGTGCTCCAACCCAGCACAGAATACATCACAGAGCTGTTGTCAGTTCATCAACGCTGAACTTAAGCAGCCCATAAAGCTTGAGAAGCAGTTTAAGGTCCAGAAGTGGGAAGATGTGAGTGCCAGACTGGAAAGGAGGGATGAGGTGTTAGCACTGACTGGGTTAAGAAGCCCTTAGAAAGCAAACAGATTATCTGATGACAACTTTTACAACATAAAATTTCCTAAACACAGATATCATGTAAAGTGCTCTAGCACAGATTTAATTCTACAAAGGAGGGGTTTTACCTTTCACATCAGCTTAAAGTTCACTTTCACAATGCTACAGAGGTAAATCCCTGAACTTCATAATTCCTGTTTCTCTCAAAAGAGAATAAAAAAAAAAAAAA